AACATTTTCTAATGGTGGTATGCCTCGTGATTTTTTTCATGAAAAAAGTGTGCCTTTGCACAAAAAAGGTTGAAAAACACTGGTCTAGGTAAATAGAGTGGTACTAGATAACAAGAGTCACTCTGTTTAGAAAAGGAAATACTCCTGAAATGATGACCCAATGAATCTCGTTATCTAGTACCACTCTATTTACCTAGACATATAGATTGACTTTGGCACTGGCAAACAGTCTTGAGACCCAGGAAGTACCGTATTTTTCAGCGTGTAAGACGTACCTTTTTCCCTCAAAAAAGAGGGTGGAAATCTGGGTGCATCTTATACACCGAATACAGCATTTTTGACCTATCGAAACCATGCCCCTTCACCAAAATGACAGTGCATAGCCTTATGGAGGCTTTCGGAGACCTCCTGAGGGCTGGGGAGGGCAAAAACGAGCATAAAATGGTTCATTTTTGCTTGTTTTTGCCCCGCAGCCTCCAGGAGCGCCCTACAAGTCTCTCAAAGCTCTGTGTGCCTTTTTTTTTTTTTTTGCAAAACTAGGCAGGCAGAGAGTTTGGGAGGCCTGCAGAGTGCAAAAACTTTTTTTAAAAAAAATTCACCTCTTCAAAACCATGGTGTGTCTTATACTCCGGTGCATCTTATATTCCAAAAAATCCTTATATATGTGCTTCAGTAATAAAAAAGAGGCCTTTTGCTGTTATGTTCTCAAAAAAACAGAATTTTGGGTTTAATTTTCAATGTGAATAACAGTTATTACATAAAAATCTTTTAACATATAAAAATATCAGGTGATTTAGGCTTCAATCTTACATTCACTTAACAGGAAGTAAGCCCCTTTATTTTTAGGATTTAATTATAAATCATTTTACAACATATTAATACATGTTTTGAATACATTAATTGCCTAATTTGCAAATAAGTTAATTTAAAGAGTAGCCAGATCTACTGTCATATCCTTTAATTGTTCTGCTAATTTTCACTTCTGATTTAGACTTTTGGTAACTATGGAGAGCAGAAAGTTCCTGCAATGTGTTTACGTTACATTTGCACAGAACAAAACAATTTAATAAAGATACTTCATATGATGTTAGTATAAATAGTAATAATATTTGTATAATTCTCTTTTCAGTTTGTGAATGAGACTCAATGATTATGGATCCAGGTGGTGGAAGTCTTGGTTTGCAGACACAGGAATCCAAAATGCCTCACACAATGATTATGCAGGATTTTGGTAAAAACCATACTATACTAACCCAAAATTATTATTATTATTAGTTAAACTATTTTCTTTTCAGGTGCATTGTATTTGTAAATGAATAATCTGCAGCAAGGATGCCAAAATTGGTATGGGGGGTATGGATTTTTTAAATCTTTGGACGAGCTTATGGGACTGACTTCCTACTGCCTCTCCAAGGCTGCACTCTGGTTAGCTGCATGCTTCAGTTGCTTACGAAGAAAACCACATTTGGATGTGGAGGGTGTATAGTGCCCACTAATGAAATCATTCCTTTGAATTTGATGATAAGGTGACCAAATATTTTAAATAATACCATTGTATTAAATTTCTGAAATCAGGTGAATTGGAATACACTTGGCACTAGAAGGCCGCTAACCTTCTAGCTGAGCCGCGGTGGCGCAGTGGTTAGAATGCAGTACTGCAGGCTATTTCTGCTGACTGCCGGCTGCCTGCAATTTGGCAGTTCGAATCTCACTAGGCTCAAGGTTGACTCAGCCTTCCAGCCATCCGAGGTGGGTAAAATGAGGACCCAAATTGTTGGGGGCAAGAGGCTGACTGTAAAACTGCTTAGAGAGGACTGTGAAGCACTGTAAAGTCAGTGCTATTGCTAATACCAATATTTAAAATGCTCAGTCTTAGCCTGCAGACCTAGTATTTCCTCGCAGACTCATTGAATGCCAACAATTATTGTAATGATTGCATCCAGCTGTAGAATTCTGTTTAAAGTTGATAATAAATATATTGGAAAGATGGAGAGTAATTTGGATGCACGTACAGCATTCATTAGCTCCTTAGGAATATGTAATGTTTCAATCTTGTATTAATATGCTTCCTCATACATTATTGTTTCCTAGTGGCTGGAATGGCTGGTACCGCTCATATTGATGGAGATCACATTGTGGTGTCAGTCCCTGAAGCTGTACTGGTTTCAGATGTGGTCACAGATGATGGGATCACCCTTGATCATGGCTTGGCAGCTGAAGTTGTCCAAGGACCTGATATCATAACTGAAACTGACGTTGTGACAGAAGGCGTGATAGTACCTGAATCTGTCCTGGAAGCGGATGTCGCTATTGAAGAAGCATTAGATACCAGTGATCACGTTTTAACTTCCGATTTAATCACCGAAACTGTTAGAGTGCCTGATCAGGTTTTCGTGGCTGATCTTGTTACGGGTCCTGATGGACACTTGGAACATGTGGTGCAAGATTCGGTATCGGGACCTGATTCCCCCACAATGGTATCCGAAGAAGTTCTTGTGACAAATTCAGATACCGAAACTGTGATTCAAGCAGCCGGCACCGTTCCCGGATCCACAGTTACCATCAAGACTGAGGATGATGACGATAGCAAGAGCACATCTGAAGACTATTTAATGATATCTTGTAAGTGAAGTAAAGATATATAAAATTACCTACTCAGACTAGAAGTGACTTGATCATGAGAGATGTAATTGTGTAGAAGTACTGCGTTTGGTCACTTGGTTTCGTATCAAGGAAGACATTGTAAATGAGTTAACAGAAACAAGCTGGTAAAAGAAATGAAGAGGAAATTGGAAATGTTTAGGCTTTTAAACAATTCTAAGCTTGCATATATTGTCTCAGCTGACAATAATGGGTGTAACTCGTCCTTGGACTGATTGCTTGTATCAGTTTCCACTTGAATTTCTTTTTTTCAATCCTTAATTATAGTTTACAAGTTAAGTTTGTAATATTACAACAACAAAAACTATAGTTGAAAGTTGGCCACAAAAGTAACTGTGGTTGACATTAAAATAGCTAACTATGTTTCATGCTAAAAAGGGAAGAATGTCATGGAGGGCAGATGAAAAAAGAGCCATCAAATCTCTCTACTTTGGTTAAAATCAACACACAAATTATTTTCATATTATTTCACCATTTTAGGGTTAAATATGGTCTACAAACAAAAATATTTCTATATTAAAGAATGAAAATTGTGACTAATTCCAGCAAAATATTTCATTCTGCTTGATCAGTCTACCAGCCCTACATGTTTAATTGTTTTGTATTTTATAGAAATATCTATTTTACATATTACATAGAAATTACTTTTCTCCTAAAAGTGAAGTGTTGTAAATAACACTAATTTGTCATACTGAGGAAGATTTGCTTTTCACTTCAGTCAACAGAGTTCATTGTAAGGACATATAATATTCTTCATACCTGTGAAAGAGTGAAAGCTTTGTACATTTGTCTCATGACTAATTCAGTCGCCTTTGAAGTAAAAAGAATATTTTTTTTCCAAATAAAATAAAACTTATTTCAAAAGAAAGGTCCATGTTTAAAAGATTACATTTTTAAAAACTCGTTACCTAAAGGGTTGGAGTGAAAGATCCTGGGAATCCCTTCTAGCTCTGCAATTTTGCAATTTTATGGTCTAGGATTTATAGTGACCGTCGGCAAGAATTCAGGAAAAATAGAGATTTAGTGTGTGGGGGGAGGGGGAAATCACACAAAACATAAAATGCCCTTCTTTGTTTTTGTTTTTCAGGTTTGTGATGTTCAGGCACCCACAATGGATTGCTAGCTTTTGAGCCATAGGATGATACTGCATGCACATGCTGGTGATCCTATACCCACTACAGAGCCACCCTGGAGCTGTCCTTTAGGGATAAGGTAATATTCCACTGCCACCTCCTTTTAAGAATCTGTTAACAGTACAGTATAGCAGGGGTGGGCAACTTTTTCTTGGCAATGAGCCATTTCCCCTCCTTTGCTAACCGGCTTGATCTTGCCTGCACCCAATTGGATCCCACTGCCTTCAATCATGTCAGTAGCACAGTTGGGCAAAGGTGGTGGAGTATTTTGCTACCAGTCCAGGGCACAAGAGTTAACAGTGCGGCTTACGGCCACTCTGCACTGCAGCTCAGCAGAAATGGGCCCTAAATGCAGAGCCAAGGTGGCGCAGTGGTTAAATGCAGCACTGCAGGCTACTGCTAGATCAGCAGGTCAGCGGTTCAAATCTCACCGGCTCAGGGTTGACTCAGCCTTCCATCCTTCCGAGGTGGGTAAAATGAGGACCCAGATTGTTGGGGGCAATATGCTGACTCTCTGTAAACCGCTTAGAGAGGCCTGAAAGGCCTATGAAGCGGTATATAAGTCCACTGCTATTGCTATATATTGCTATAAATGCACCACATTTGACACGTTGGCCAAAAGTTATTCACCCCTGCAATACAGCATTGCATAGTCTGCTACAACTATAAGTAAAATCCTATTCTGTTCCCTTCTTGAGAAAGCAATTAGGAAAGTCAGTTTTTTAAAATAAAATAAAATAAAATTGCACAGTTGTAAACTTTGGCATGTATCTCATGGTTTTATGGTGGGTGTGATATCACCAGCATAGTGCATGCTGAGACACCACATGAATGGGAAGCTGGCAATCCACAGTGAATCTGAACATCTCATACCTGGAAACAGCTGAGAAAGGTAAGTTAGAGGTGGTTAAGACTTCCTTATAATTTTTCTTTGTCAATGGATATCCCTTACTATTTCTGCACAAAAATTATTCCTTACAATTCCCTGGGTAATCATAATAATAGATCATTAATAATCAAAAGAAATAATTGGGTTTAAAAAAATGTTCAAGTTTTATGTGCGGTCAGAAAATAATCTTCTGGAATTATGATTTGGTTAAGAATGAATGTGGAGTTAAATATTTTTTTAAACGTTCTGTAGGTTTACAAAAAAAGGACACGGTGGCTCAGTGGTTAAGATGCTGAGCTTGTTGATCAGAAAGGTCAGCAGTTTGATGGTTCAAATTCCTAGTGCCACGTAACGGAGTAAGCGCCCGATACTTGTCCCAGCTTCTGCCAACCTAGCAGTTTGAAAGCATGTTAAAAAAAATGCAAGTAGAAAAATAGGGACCACATTACTGGGAAGGTAACAGCGTTCTGTGTGTCTTCGGTGTTTAGTCATGCCAGCCACATGACCACGGAGATGTCTTCGGACAGCTCTGGCTCTTCAGCTTTGAAACGGAGATGAGCACTGCCCCCTAGAGTCGGGAACGACTAGCACATATGTGCAGGGGGAACCTTTATTTTTATAGGTTTACAATTCTTATGTTGAAGTCTGTAAACCGCCTTTTGGGTTTTCTTTAACAGCAAGTTGTTAAATCAAGGTGGGAAAATTCATTGATGTATGAGTTATGGGTCCAGCAGTTTAGCTTGTATGTATTTAATTCTGGAATCCCTTGAATAAATGGTGCATGATGTTAATAAATAAAAATAAAATATGTCGTTAGCTTATGTCTAACAGATATCAACTTAGAAATTAAAGATACAGTGCATTTCAATATTCATATATTAAAGCATTATTGACACGCGATGTGTTTCCAATAATTTATAACCATTTTTATTTGCAGCTTCTCTCCCAGTACTATATAGCATTTCTTCCAACATATTTTTTCCAACATTTCCCTATGTCCCTATGGGTTATATGCATTATTTATAAAAAGTAAACTTTCAGCAGTGATCAGATAGGGTAATTCTAGAAAATATATTTCCGTCCATGTTTTATCCGTAGTTATGAGAAAAATGGGTCCTAGCTAAAATCAAATTGAAATCGTTGCATTTTGATAAATTGCCTTAACGTTATGTTCCTTCTGTATTGAGAACTTTCATTGTTAAAGAATTTTATTTAGCAAATATTCTTTAGTGCAAGACATGCCTGAAGACTTGAAATGCTAGATTATCCATGCCAATACTTCAGCTGGTGCCTTTTTAGGCATGACATTAATTATATTTTACCGATAAGCTTTGGAAAAATGTGTTTTAGGAGGTAAGATTTTCTCCGTACATTAAGTACTGCAGTTTATACTACTAATGTATGTTAGCTGTAGGTTTTATTTTGGTTGGGAATCATTAGGGTCTTTATTAACATAAGGATTATTCTTTCTAATAAGCCGGAATTTGAAATTAGGGTTTATAATTAGTGTATGCAACTTGACTTGTCAAAATAATGGTAAGGGGGAATTTAAACGGAGTTGCAATGTTAATTTTTCCCATTCTTTTCAGTTTTGTTAATTTGGTAAATAAAAGACTCTGAGGGCTTTATTTAACTGTCACTGGCACATCTTACAAATCTTAAAAAGAACTTGTTTTCTTTTATTCTTAGGAATGGAATTAAAGCAGTGACTATGAATTTGCACAATTGGTTTATTGTTATTCAAACAGGATGTATAGAAAAAACATTCTAAAACCTTGGAAGAAGGAAACTATCACAATACAATAGAGAAATCATTTCCATTTCCTTCATAGGTTTATGTATATTATTTTTCTTTCTCATTTTTTTTACTACATCTTCATGAATCTAGTAAATGCTTCACTGTTTGGTCTGAAATCCTTTTTATTAGGCCAATGTTGCATAGATTAGTTATCCCAATGTTGCATAGATTAGTTACAACTTTCCAAATGCTCCTCTGCACTCTTTATTTTTAAAGGAAAATAAACAGAAATGTAACATTTCAAAGGCAAGAAGTGACTCCATATTAAAAAGAGTGCTTTGTAGCAATCCATTCTTAAATATTTTGGCTGGGCAGTATGCAAAAAAGTACTTGAAACTTTGTGATGTCTACTTCACAATGGAATTTGGTGTGACTCTTCCCACTCTCCTGAGTATGAATGTGAATTAGAGAAGATATTTAAGCCAAACTGGCAGGAAAGCGTTCTCTGTATATATGTATGTATGTGTACACACACGCACATAAAAAAGTCAGCAAGCGCCACAGAAAAACTATACCAAGCTTTCAGAGGTAGAGAAGTATTTGAAAGATCCCCTTCTCCGTGCTAGCAACATAAGCCCTTCCTTCTGTCGGCACATACTGACACATCCCAAAAGCAAATCACTGCTCCCAAAGTTGTGAATTAGCTCTCCTATTAAAATAGCGGGTTTGTTATCTGTATATAAATCTACTAAATAGTCCAACATATCCCTATAATTTCAATATGCAACCTCTTTGTGTTCTTAATGTTGTCTATCTGCAAACTGATAGATAGGAAAGGAAGGGAAGAAGGAAGATTCTTGGCCTCTGTGAAATAGCTTTTTGCAAATTCAGATATGGAGGTTGCTTGGGCCAAATGACTTGAATTTTATTAGCTTTTGTTTTTCTAAAATTCATTAAGAAACATCAGCAACACCGAGTTCGGTCATACAAGTTGAATTTCGCCATGGTTAACAGTAGCGATACTGATAACTCTCTTTTAAAAATTCAGTGATTAGCTTTTTTATTTCTATTTAGTTTTCTTTTCAGTAGTTCCAGCATTGTTCTGACCAGTTCACAGCCTTCTGAAACACAGGTTCATCAATGCCATCTAAAACTGCAGCAGTTTTAGCAGGTTATCATTAAATGGCACCTAGCACAGGCAATATGGGCACATGTAAAGCTTATAAAATTTGTATAAATGCAAGAAATTACATTGAATCTTTGCTTGCTTCTCCCTGAAATAATTGACACCTATAAAAGAGCTCAGCATCCAGCTGACTATTGCAACTGTAAAACAATTTCTTTCATCCGGCTTCCAGCAAAGTAAATGATATTAAATTTCCTTAAGATAAATCATGTGAGTCTTGTAGTATTGTCAATGGTGCTAAAAGGAAACTATTCTTGACTACGACCATAGAAGAGTCTAAAATAGTTATGAAGTAAGCATGCTTCCTCTCTCCTATATAAGACATTCTCCCCCTCCCAAGAATTTACTTTGGTACCTTCAATTTATTTCTGGATCATTTTGAAACAAAGAGATCCTATTGGGACTTGATTAACATGCTTTAACTGAGAAAGAACTCTGCCCATAAATTAAACTTAGTATATAAACCTAATTCTGATTAATGGACAGGGAAGGCTTTTCATGCAAGGAAGAAATATGGAAGAGATTGGGTAAATTTATTGCTTTCTGACTCCTCACCCCCATGAAAATAGACCTGTCATCAATTCATTCACAGTTTCACTATTCTACATCAGTCATAACTTCATCTGGTAGAGTACCTCCTTATGGAAAGGAAGTGATATGTGTGAATAAATGCTAACTAATACTTTATTGAAAATGTTGAAGATCAAACCAAGATGATTTTCCTTTTTTTAAAAAAAATGATAACATGGGTATCCCTCCCGTCTTATGCCTTCTAAAATGCAAAATAGACCAATTAAATGCAAAATATGCATGCATTGCAAAATACCATGCCTTATTTAATTGCTTAATCAGATATTGTAATATTAATGATATATTTCTACACCACACGTAAGGATTCTTTCCGATGGTGAAATTAATTATTTTGATTTACTAAAATAATAAATTATCAACTTACAGTGGATTTATTTATACCATGTACAGTCTTCAGAAATTAAAACAAATGCAGAGTGATTGGTGTGCATGCCAGCAGCCAGGTTGTTATTTCAATAAATGAGCTAAAATTCTCAGAACATGTTGTTTTGCTTCACATTCTGCTTCAAACTTAACTTCAGTTCTTATTTATTTTTTAGTGGATGATGTTGGGGAAAAATTAGACCACATTGGAAACACTCCTCTAAAAATCAGCACTGAGGTTTCACATGGTGATGTATCTAAAGATGATGGGTTTGGCTCTGAAGTTATTAAAGTTTACATTTTTAAAGCCGAAGCGGAGGATGATGTAGAAATAGGTATGTATCTTAAACTTAGGTTTATGAATCAGTCCATCAATCAATCTATTTGTGTGTGTATAAATGGCTGTGTGTGTGTGTGTGTGTGTGTGTGTGTGTGTGTGTGTGTGT